GCGTGAAATTCGTGTTGAATTTTACGGAGAAGCTAAGGTCTACTGGACAGAGACAGCGAGACCGAGCAGATGGTCAAAGCGGCCGGGCCTGAAGCGGGACTATACAAACTATGAACAGTACTTAAACATTGCAGCAACAGCTTTTGGCAAAGGTAAGGGTTGTATATTTATCGTGCTAAGAATTTAGACTATATTGAAGGTATGAAACATATACATTTGTCTTTTTTAGAACTCGGAAAAAAACCTTAGTTTCGAAAAATCCACATTAAAGCTCAAACGTCGAATGCAAACACTCAGCAATGATCAGAACCAACAACAACAACATCTTTTATTTAAACACGGTGGGTTTTAAAGCTAATATAGCTTATGGGGCCGACATAAAATTACTTCATTTTTCTTCCGCTCTCATTGTGAATTAGTGTTGTTTACACATTTGCATTCATAAAATTCAGTAGCAATAAGTTTGAGAGTCCTTTGGTCATAGTGGCTCCTGCTCAAGACCTTACACCACGCGCGAACGCAGAAGATTTTCCGGTCGTCGCTTCAAGACCTCCTCCAAGTTAAATCCCACTACTTCGGCTGCTAAGAGCAATAAATTGGAAGGCCTTCAGTGTAATGTGTATAGTAATATTGGAAAACAAGCTTCGATTTTCCTCCATCGTTGATTAGTGGTAGCAACATAACTTCGCCCTAAAGGGGATTTTCGACGTTTTTCTGACTTCAAAACGGGAAAATGTGGCTTTTTCTCCCCCACCCCCTCCATGCAATGTTGTGCCGCTGTTCGCGAGCTACCTCAAGAAAACAGCAAACACCCCAACTTCGAATGGAGGGGACAGGGGAGGGGTGTGGAGTTTTTTCGTTCTTTGAATTCCTCCCTATTGAGTACAATGTCTCAACAAATTTTTCGCTGATTGTGAGGTCTGATTCTCATTGGCATTTTGAGTGGTCGCTTACAAGAGGTTCGACTGACGGGATTGCAGCCTCTCATCCCTCCCTCAATATAATCAATAGCTAAAAGAGCCTTAAGCAGCGATCGAGACTATCGTACCAGTCATATGGACTTCAAGTTTTTATGACAACCTCGAATAATGACAAAAATTTGTCTTGCTCATTTATTCTTTTGCTAGAATAAAGATGATGTGAACTGCGGAAATGCAAATTTAAATGAAGATATCATTGTCGCAGTGGTAACTGCAATTTAAGCAATTGCAAATTAACCTGAAAAAATGTCGCGACTTGAACGGGACGCGAACACATGGCCTCTGCGTTAGCGCTGCATTGCTCTACCAACTGAGCTAGGAAGACCCACAAATTGGGAGCTGGCCAATTTGTTGAGTTCATCTTAAGCCGTGAAAAGGAATGAAACGTAGAAGATGATGTAAACTGCGGAAATACAAATGTAAATGAAGATATGATCGTCGCAGTGGCAATTGCAATTTTAGCCATGGTAACTAGACCCGAAAAAATTTCGGAACTTCAACGGCATTTGAACCCTTGGCATCTGCGTTACCCCTTTAGTGCTCTACCAACTGAGCTATGAAGACCCAACATTGGGACTTGCTGCAGGGGTCAATTTAATAAAACTTTTACAAGTGTAATTTACTGTTGGTGTAGTTATTGTTTTCAGACTCTAAAACTCTTGTAAACTACACCTTAACGGGTAAAAGGAACAAAACATGAAATAAGTTGATGTGAATTGCTAAAATTTTAAAATTCTTTGCAGCCCCTGGACAGCCCGGCCCTAATCCCGTCCTCTCGGCTGGTGAACACTCATTCCCCTTTGAATTTCGAATTCCGGAGGAGAATCTGCCTTCCACTTATGAGGGGAAACATGGTCATGTGAAATACTGGCTAAAAGCCATCCTTGATCGGCCTTGGAAGGAGGACAAGACAGTCGTAGAGGCTTTCACTGTGATAGAGAAAGTTGACGTAAATCAGTCGGAATTCCGGGTAAGGCTATAACTTTCCGTTAGTTCCTTGGAAATCAAAGCCCAGAGCAACTCTCTCGCATTATGATCCATGATCTATGGCGCAGTGGTAGAGCGCTCGCCTTCCGCCAATGTAGCCCGGGTTCAAATCCCGGCATCGACACCATATGTGGGTTGAGTTTGTTGTTGGTTCTCTCCCTCACTCCAAGAGGTTTTTCTCCGGCTACTCCGGTTTTCCCCTCTCCTCAAAAACCAACATTTCCAAATTCCAGTTCGACCAGGAATCAGGTAGACGAAGAACCACTATGTGGATGTACTACCTGCAAATCGTTATTTATTTATTATTTATTTATTTATTTCTGCCAAGGCAACCCTTCAGTAATATAATTCGGATAGCGGATCTCATTCAGATGAAGGGATAACACCTAAGTTTTGCTTCTTGCATTTGTTTAGCGTCCTTCGCAGGTCCAGGAAGATAAAAACATGGGGTGCCCGTGCTGTAGGTCTGGCCCGTTGAATGTGACTGTTCGGACAGACAGAATTGGTTACTGTGTAGGAGAACTAATGACAATTACAGTGTACGCCAACAACCAAACTCCTTACAGGATTCTTGGAGTGGAGGTGGAATTGATTCAGGACACTATTTATGTATCGCAAGGAGGTAAGCAAAAGCTCATGTTGACAACAGGTGCCAAAGATTATAGCCTCCAAGTAATCATGTTGATGTTTTTGAAGAAGTTAATGCTATAAAAGCCGTGGGTTTAGTTTTTCCCATGGTTATTTCCTGTCAGTGATACAAAATTATAGAAAATGTTGTGGAAAAAGAGACTGAACCCAAAAAAACATGATCCGTAAGCAAGAGGGAAATAATTATTATCTCTTGCCGTAAGTTCATTGTTCACACGGAGAAAGTTTGAAGATGCGTAAAAAACACGAATAGCTCGTGCGTATATCTTCATGTTCGTTTAATTCTAAGTTTAATTCAAAGTCTAATCTTGTACGGAATGAGGAATTACTACCAGGAAATAATGCTTGTTTGATCAGGTATATGTATTGATATCCCGCCCTTTTTATCTAGAATTATAAAGCATTCCAGAAGCTCCAAAATCCCAGCAGTGATTTGCAGGAGCCTTATATGAGGTCTTTGCAGTCTAGTTATTTTTTTCGATCATCAGCACGCGCTTGTTTACAACAGATCAGACAATTCTTTCTGGTCTTCATTTCTTTCCTGAGGTCATTTTCAGCAGACTTTTTATAACTTTTGATTATATATTTTGTTAAAAATTCAGGAAAAAAGATGTTAACAACGGATATTCTTGCAACTGTCACAAAAGCTGGAAAAGCTTCAAATCCGGAAGGAGCGGCAAATGACTTTTTTGAAATGGTACCTGTGCTTATCCCACTTACAACACCTTCTATGAAGAGTTGTAGATGTATAAAGATATCTTATCAAGTAAAGGTCAGTTTTATGAGTATTCTTCAATCAATTTCTGTTTTTATACTTCTCTGGAATCTTAACGCAAAGGGAAAACCATGGCTAGGATTCAGAGAAAGAGATCGGAAAACGGATGAGTGGGATTTCGATAAATCTTAACTTCCTGTCGAAATTGCTTGAAGAGTGTGCTTGCGACTTAACTCTTGGATGTAAATTAAGGCATGGGTCCTCTATTTAATAAGGTGGTATATATAGTACAATCGTCAAAAATCACTATTTTTTCCTATGTTATTTTGCAAAAGTTTACCAATGTATTTTTAGACTACAACACAAGATAAGTTTATTTTTGCATTTTTGGACCTGATCAGTTACCATGGCAACCAATAAGGGCAAAAAGATACCCCCAGAGTTGCCCGTACAAAAACACTTCTATCTCCAACACGTTACAAAGAAAAATGCTAAAACTTCTAGAATTTATTCTTTAAATGCTATTTCATACAATGAACTAAAGAAATAGTGTTCAGTCTCATAGATTCAAAATTATCGCAAGAAGCATATTGACATTCAAAATTCAGTGAAATAAGGATCCAACTTTGGCCTGTTAGGCAACAAGGATTGCACCAGAGTACATGATTGTAGTTCATTGCATGTAAAAATATATGGAGATTTTTCACTCCAAAAATGAAAAGAATTGAATAAAACCATGGAAAGTTATGGCTGCTAGCTGATGTTGCTAGTTCCGTAAAATTCAAAATTATGAGAAAAAATGGGTTAAAGTTTGTGAAATGCAATTCTTGAGACTGTCACAGAGTTCCTATAAATATAACTCAATTAGAACTGTCCAGAGGCATAGTTTACACCCTCTCTTTGCTTGTTTTTGTCATCTTTTCTTTTCTTCAGGCCTCTGATAACTTTTCTCCTCTTCTTAGTGCTTGCTTTATTTTTATACTCCGCACCGTCCACTTGTAGCTGATCTTGAAGTTTGCACCCCTCTTCAGTATATTTTCCAGGAGGAATGTTTAAGCCTTGGAGCAGCTTGATAACAGTTACTGCTCCAATATTAAAATGGGAAACTGCATCATACAGTCCTAATTCTAATGTTTCTCTTCCAACGTAAACTTCTTTTGGGACCCTTTGCCAAATCATTCCATTTAAAGATTCATTTTGATTCTGTGTCTTGCCATGCAAGCACTTCTCAAGCAAGCTGTCCTCACTGAGTCGAATATACTCTGGTTTTAATTTTGCAATTACCTCTAAAGGTAAGCCTGGCCCATGCTTGTAAAGCTTTGTGCCATTGGCTTCATCCTGCTGATACCGGCACCAGCTTGCACTGCCTGTTGGGCAATGGTCATGAAGTGCGCGTGCTTCAGTAGACGTACAATGAATGCATCAGGCTAGCATGAATGGCTTTCTTCATGCCAGCAAGATCTCCAACATTTGATCTTATGGCTATGCCATAATAGTTCTGCAAGGTTTATCAATTTGACTGTCTGTCAGTTTGCCCTTGCCTCCCAGGCCTGGANCTTTGCCAAATCATTCCATTTAAAGATTCATTTTGATTCTGTGTCTTGCCATGCAAGCACTTCTCAAGCAAGCTGTCCTCACTGAGTCGAATATACTCTGGTTTTAATTTTGCAATTACCTCTAAAGGTAAGCCTGGCCCATGCTTGTAAAGCTTTGTGCCATTGGCTTCATCCTGCTGATACCGGCACCAGCTTGCACTGCCTGTTGGGCAATGGTCATGAAGTGCGCGTGCTTCAGTAGACGTACAATGAATGCATCAGGCTAGCATGAATGGCTTTCTTCATGCCAGCAAGATCTCCAACATTTGATCTTATGGCTATGCCATAATAGTTCTGCAAGGTTTATCAATTTGACTGTCTGTCAGTTTGCCCTTGCCTCCCAGGCCTGGATTCTCGCGCTTCAATTTACGAAGTGCAGTTCACACTCTCTTCTGGACATGACCAATACATTCCTTCTTTTCCATTTCAATACCAGCATCTTCATAAACTCCTTTTACTCGACTGAAACTTTTACTGTCACCGTCCCCATAGAATTCAGTGTATCTAAGGTTGTGCAGTTTTACAGACCTTTGAAATATGCGCTCTGCTCCTTCCGGCTCCATAGCTGGTGCTAATCCCCGAAAATTAGCTTTACACTTAGTGTGCTCAGCTCTCCAAGTCTGATATTCAAGAGATGTTTTGTCTTAGTGTTCATGGCGCTCACATTGTTTGCAACCTTGACTGAGGGCTTCTACATTGAGCACCCTTCCTGTGCCCACCCTTCCGGTGGGGTGGGTGGGGGGGGGGAGCGGTAGTCTAACTTCTTAAGCTTTTAATATAGCACAAAATAACTTAAGACAGACTTCCTGGGTATAAGTTTAATAACTTTGAATGATGATTGGAGGGACTAATTGTCACGTGACCTATAAAGGCTATTTTTAGCACAAAAATCTATTTGGCAATATGGCACCACTTTTAATTACTTTCTGGAAGTTGCAGTTATCGTCATAGTTATGAGACTAGTGGGTACATCATTTCTGTGTACGGGCCTTTTAAGTTAATATTTTAGACAGGAACGAAATTCGAAAATCGTTCGATGAGGGGTTTATTTACACTTTCAATAAATTATTCAACAAAGCCCGGGCACAGATGTTTACTTGTTCATGTAGGGACATGTTTGGTTGCAATTTCTTTGATTGGCTGCTATTATAAAATGGTTCCATTTCTAATTTAAGTTTTTTTCGCGCAAAATGGCTGTTCAAGGTCACGTGACCTAATTCACATATTGTTTTATCCGGAATCGCACAAACTTTTGAGAGTCATTATTTTACTCAAGTTTTGTCCTATAGGCCTCCATATTAATCCTCAAAATTTAGACCACCCCTCGACTTTTCTTAAGGAAATTGAAAAAACACCCACGCCTTAATTTCCTTGAGCTGTTCCAGGCCCTCAGATAGTGGGGATGACGCTTTCATGTTCGCGCTTTCTCAATTTCGCGGACCCGACTATCTCTGAGCCTGGAGCAGACTAGTAGAGGCGATTCCAGAACGTACCTTTTTTCTTTAGCCTTTCAAGTTTTCCCGAAATGTCAACACATCGTCCTTAAGGGAATGCAAGGGGGGGGGGGGGGGGNTAAACTTTTAATATAGCACAAAATAACTTAAGACAGACTTCCTGGGTATAAGTTTAATAACTTTGAATGATGATTGGAGGGACTAATTGTCACGTGACCTATAAAGGCTATTTTTAGCACAAAAATCTATTTGGCAATATGGCACCACTTTTAATTACTTTCTGGAAGTTGCAGTTATCGTCATAGTTATGAGACTAGTGGGTACATCATTTCTGTGTACGGGCCTTTTAAGTTAATATTTTAGACAGGAACGAAATTCGAAAATCGTTTGATGAGGGGTTTATTTACACTTTCAATAAATTATTCAACAAAGCCCGGGCACAGATGTTTACTTGTTCATGTAGGGACATGTTTGGTTGCAATTTCTTTGATTGACTGCTATTATAAAATGGTTCCATTTCTAATTTAAGTTTTTTTCGCGCAAAATGGCCGTTCAAGGTCACGTGACCTAATTCACATATTGTTTTATCCGGAATCGCACAAACTTTTGAGAGTCATTATTTTACTCAAGTTTTGTCCTATAGGCCTCCTTATTAATCCTCAAAATTTAGACCACCCCTCGACTTTTCTTAAGGAAATTGAAAAAACACCCATGCCTTAATTTCCTTGAGCTGTTCCAGGCCCTCAGAAAGTGGGGATGACGCTTTCATGTTCGCGCTTTCTCAATTTCGCCGACCCGACTATCTCTGAGCCTGGAGCAGACTAGGAGAGGCGATTCCAGAACGTACCTTTTTTTCTTTAGCCTTTCAAGTTTTTCCGAAATGTCAACACATCGTCCTTAAGGGAATGCGAGGGGGGGGGGGGGGGGGGGGAACCTGGCGGAATAGCAGAAGAGGAAAGAACAGAAGTAGCACTCAATTTTCGTGCTCAATCACTGGCCCGTATTGAAGGTTCCAAATCGGCCTGGAAGTATCTGGCAATGCTATGATTTTCGATGACATCCAAAAGTCAGGCACCCCCTGTCTCCTAAAAAAATGCGAATTAAAAATTAACTAATCTCAAGCAATTTTCAATAAGTCTGTATTCTGTAAGTCATTGAATGACATCACACGTACGCCACGACTGACTAAAAAATGTTTATTTCCCCAACTCGGGGTTTTAAATGAGGTATTAGGACCGGCATTTACATGCATATTAGCCTTACGGGTAATCACACAAGCCGCCAATGACAAATATAACAACGCCTCGTTCTAATGATCGGCTATGCCATGCTGAAGAGATTTTTAAAGTATTACCTCATATAATACATCATTTTTCCCACTCACTACATACAACAAGACGTCATGCAAGTCTAGCCAGAAACACTGACAAAGGTAACCAGTTTGGAAGTTATGCTCAAATAATCAAGTATTCACATGACAGTATCCCTTTCTTTTCTCTAGTTTACTCTTCTATTGCGTGGAACCGTAAATTTCCGCGTTCACATTCCAATCACGATTGGCTCCATACGTCAGTCATCAGTAAAGGGAAAGACCTCTCCGACCGTTACCTTCATGGGCCTGGCCTCCACATCCATGGAGGATACGGACGACATCTCACCATATCCAAATGAAGGTACGCATGCGCAGCTAGTTTGTTCAGGTTTAGCGCATGTATGTTGTCATTCGATTTTATCCTTGGTTGAAATTTTGTTTTCTGTTGTTTTAAATTTATTATCCTACATAACTTTTACCCTAAGATAAAGGAAAATATCATAATTTAAAGCAAGTATACATTTGAACCACAACATGCTGGAGGGCAAAAGAGAGAGTTAGAAATGAGAGAAATTTACGAGTGCAAAGAGCGTCACCAAATCTGTATAGTTCTAGACGTCCAAAATCCGCGTCCTTCAATTCTCGCTGGATACGAATTAGTCCCAAGCTGGTTTCGACGCCAAGAAGGGTAGTTTTTCATTTACCAGCCAACTTTTCCTGCGAGATGTTTGCTTTCATTACATATTGCCTGTGCTTTAGAAGAATTAGTCTGCGCGCAGTCGAAACTAAACTGTGGTTAACTCCAGAGGTACCAACCAGAGTTTAGTTTCGTCTGCGTGCAGGTTATCCAAAAATTTGCAAGGAGTTCCAAGCATTACCCAAGAAGTTCCGAATACTTCCGAAGATTGCCAAAAGAAGGTAAAAGACGACTTAAAATTCTAAAAACTGTAAAAGATGAAAAAGACCAAAGAATAAAACACCAAAGCAGTAAAACCAAACTTAACAGTGTCCCGTCCCGTTGGGTTAATGAAAAATAGTCCAGATTTGTGAGGCATTTGTAAGGAGTTACCCAGATAGAACTTTGGATGAATGAGTGGTAGGGGGACCCATGCAATTTTATACAACCAGTGCATTGTATTATCAGCCTGTTAAACTGACTGATTCGACTTGTGCAAAAATCCTTAAGACTAATTGAGGTTATTCTGTAAAAATCATCACCAAGAAGAAAAAAGCTAGGTAGTTTGGCGTTTTAATTAATTTCCAGGTTTTTTTACATGTTTTGTTCTTCCGCTAAAGGGCCATAGCCGTGTTATGGGGCTGTCATGGATTCAAATGTTCGCGAACCCAATTCCTTTTTCCTCTCCGTCCCAAGTTCGTGTGACAAGCGTATCTTTCAACTTCAAGATTACTTTAACTCTACAGGATTTGTAAAACGGACAGTAGCTTAAATTTATGTTTTTTTTGTGATGGTATGGTTTGCCGTTCCCTATTTACATCCTATATTAATTACGTGGAGTAGATTTTCTCATTAAAAACAATCATTCCATTTCTTCTTGCAGCACCACCATCCTACGCAGAAAGCGTCAGTGGGCAGACGCGGCGATATGATACAGTCCATTTTGATAAAGGCATGGGAATGCCGCAATTAAGTGCTGCCGTTAAAAAGACGTCATAGCCTTAAGTGGCACTGGATCAGACAGGGGGATCTAGTCGAGGTCCCCCTTCCCTCCTCCCCCCCCCCCCCCCCCCCCCCCTCTCCCCCCCAGGCCCCTTTTCTCCCCCCCCTTTTATACACACCTAAAAAAAAAAAAAAAATTTTTTTTTTTATAAAAAAAAAAAAAAAAAAAAAAATAATACCCAGGGGGAAAAAAAAATTAAAATTTTCCCCCCCAACTAAAATAAAAAGCAACTAAAGAGGTTGGGGGGGGTTTGTTGGTTTTCAA